TGAAAAATGACTGAATTTTTAGTAGGTACAGAAGAGTGTATTCCCCAAAGAGATGATTCTCCTTGCCCCCCCCCCCTGAAAGTAGGAGGCTGCTGAGTAAACTCCACCCCCCCCAGGGGGGGGGGGGGTGGTGTGCAGTCACCAGCTGATATGAAATGACTTTCATACACCAGGTGAAAAATGACTGAATTTTTAGTAGGTACAGAAGAGTGTATTCCCCAAAGAGATGATTCTCCTTGCCCCCCCCCCCTGAAAGTAGGAGGCTGCTGAGATAACTCCACCCACTCCATGGTGGGGGGGGGCAGTGCAGGATTAATGACTGTGACAAGCAGAGGGGGACGCAGGGACATGTCCGCTGAATGGAGCCACTGAGGTGACCGTAAAAAACTGAAGAGCTGGCACCAAAAGCATAGCATCCTGGCTCCGAGCACGAGGGGGGATCTGCGTCAGGATGGATACACAAAGAACCCGGGGACACTCCCCCCTCAACACCTGCAGCCCCTTCCTCCACGTTCCCTCCTCTTTTTTCCATTCCTCCCCCTAATTAAGCTAATTGCTTCATTATTTGGGTTCCACCCCACGACGCACTTCGGGAAGCTTGGAGCTTGGATTATCAGTGCACTCTGAAACCCTTGGGGGGCAATTATTCCATAAATCGACATCCAAACAAAAACTGAGCAACACAGGAGGCACTTAGACACGGGGAGGAACGTGTGCGGTCAGGGGGCAGGGGGACGTTAACCTGGAAACCAGCTTTTGCTTCACCATAAACATACATCTGATAAGCTAGATGGACCGGCTAGGTGTACAAAAAGCATTTTAATGGTTCCATTGTTTCATCATTCAATACATTGATAGACCTCGTCGTACAGCTACATCACCTTCAGCAAGCAAACTGCAGGGTTCTCAGCTGTCACTCATCTGGTGTGACGCGCTTTCAGATGCAAGAAATCTTACAGCAAATCTATTTTATTCCATTATATGCCTAAAAGTAGCTACACCGAAAGTGTTAGGACAGTTTGCAAACTCTACAGACTATTTACCAGGTAATAAAGCTGTTACATACATGTAAATGCATGTGCAGACTTGTCTTGAATTGAAAATCTCACTCCAGCCAGCTGAGCAAAGTTGGCATCCCTGATATAAATAACAATTTTAGGCTGTCAGAAGAGCAGTTGGCGTCAGGTGGCTCCAGCTGATCTTCAGGCGACAGAGCAGGGGCTGTAAGCCTTGTCAGCTCTCGCCCCCATATTCCTATCAGGCGACATCCTCTGCAGGCCACAATTTCAAGAGGAGCATAACATGAATATTCAAAGACCACCGTTGGTCTCTTGCCCTGTGATGAACGATGAAGTTCTGCCTCACCTAACTGCGTCTTTACACACTTGGGAAGTGGATCGTCTCGGCGAGAAGCCGAGTCCGATCTCAGGCCGGGGAAAGGGCAGCATCGGAGCCTCGGGCGGCGTTCTCCTCTGACTGGCACTGAAGCTGTCGGCTCACTTTCGTGTTGGAGATGATGATGACAATGGGGCTTACCGAAGCATAAAGGGAGGCGAAGAAGACTCGGAGGTCAGACACCAGCGCGGAGCTCAGGGTCTGAGTCACGGTGATGGTGTACACCCACAGGCCATTGTCGACACCGTAGAACACCACGTACATGGTCACCAAGGTAACGACGGATTTGGCGGCCCGCCTTTCCGCCGAGGGTCTGGACTTTCCGCCGGCTCCGCCACGGAGGCCTTTCACCTGCTGGCTGTGGCGGTAGAGGAAGACCAGGATGATTATGCTCGCCGTGGTCATGAAGGCCATGGGCACCACGTCACGGGCAGTCTGCACTGCTCCGTTTGCGTCCCTGGCAAGGCCGGAGGGGAACTGCACCAGGCAGAACTGCGCATTGATGCTGTGCTCCATGAGGCTGGAGTTGCCGCGGGAACCCAGGGAGTAGATGGCCGCGGGGCAGCTGATAATGCAATTCACCAGCCACAGCGCCAGGAAGATGAAGCCCAGGTGGTGGGCAACGGTGGCGCGCACCTGGGCCCAGCGGGATCCCGGCGGGGCAGCGCTTAGGCACTGGTAAGCGCTCAGTACGAAGGTGAGCCAGATAGAGAGGGTGCGGGCGGTGCGGAACACATAGATGATGCCACGGCAGCTGGCGTCGTTAAAGATGGCGGCCAGCCGAAAGGTGGCCAGGGTCTCCGGGAGACAGCGGACGACGACCACCAGCAGGTTCACCGAGACCAGGTGCAGCACGATGGCGTCTGCAGGCAGGAGGCGCCGATCGTGTCTCGCCACCCGGACAAAGGCCCAGATCACCAGGCTGTTCCCGGGAACGCCCACCACTGTGAGGAAGAGGAAGAGCAGCCCTCGGATCAGACTCTCAGACTCCATTGCCGGCAAGGAAGGTCTATAAACGGGTGACATCAGCAGGACGGGGTGTCATTCTTAATATTTGTTTTCTTTCACTAAAAACAATTTGATAATTTAAGTATGTTTTTATAAAAAGCTGATGTTTTTCATTCAACACATAACTGTGAACACTTACTTAAATATCGGGGATTATGAATCAGTTTTTCTTCCTCACCTGTCATTGGATGATATCCTGTCCTGCAGTCTATCTCCTGGTTATCTGGCGGTCTTTCCTTTCTGTAGTCAGTTCAGCAGCGCCACAAGCTGCTCTTATACCCACGGAGCGGTAACCATAGAGAGGTGAGAGGCACAACACGGTCCACTGGATCTGAGTTCTTCATTCTCGCATCTTGAAGTAATCGAGACTGATGGACCAGACAGCTGCAGCTGCTGCAATCCAAGTATTTACAAACTGGCTGGAGAGAGGAGATGGCGAGGGAGATGGGGACGTTCATTATGGTCCAGTGGTGCGGGCATAATAGGAGAGAATTCCCAGGCTTGGGTCTGTTAGCTCCAGACCTGGAGGAGGAAGACCTGGCCAGTGGCAGGTCACTG